CTGTGGAGGCTATTTTGAGTGGAAGGCATTTGCGATTTATTCAGTTGGCTCATACATTGTTATCTCGGTAGAATATCTATTGCCTGTCGATATGGACGATTTTATGTATTTTTGGGTTGACTGCCTTTAGTTACCGGCGTCCTATAAAATCTTTGATAATTTGAGAACCACATATGGTATTAGCATGCTCAATTTTTACTGATGAGGCCTTAAAACCAGTGATTTCTTGGGTTTTTAAAATTCTTCAGGCAAACAAAAACGCTTATATTTCAAAAAGGGATATTTGTATTTATGCCTTTGTTATTAATGCTGAAGACACAATATCGGCATCCATAAGATCTATACTAATGTTTGAGGCATACAGGTTGTCAGAGGTTAGATCTTAATTTTTCATAGCTTATGTTATACTTTCAGTACTTTGTGACAGCTGAGGACTTTCATTACCATGTGATCCAGTCATGATAGGAAAAGTTGCTGATAAGGAATCTACAATAATTGTGGTAGTTTAGGAAGCATTAATATTGTGTGAAGTGCTCGTTTACATAAGTCTTTGGTTGATTGTTTTCGTTGCGACTATATATGACTTCTTAAACTTAGTGGAAGCAACAATTAGCGGTTCAAACATTTTCATTCGGGTACTAAGTGGGGTTCAAATTGAAAAAGAATGGGATAAAAGTACTTTCGGTGTATTTTTTAAACTAACAGAAGATTGATTGCTCTCAATATCAAATACTTATCTAATTTCAGCGGTATTTTATCTGGAATGTTATAGAAAAGGATAGCATGTCTAAAGGTAAGAAATCCACTTATTTCACTGACAGATTCTACTTTAATAACATTCAAATCTGAAGAGTTTGTGCTCTTAGGTAGAAACAGTTTGAGGGGAGATGAACCTTTAAGTTTCTGTTTAACATTATCATGCGTTGGAGAGAATATTATGATTAACTCCATTTTTAAGAGAATACAGCCTACCTGTTTGTTTAGGTAATATGCACACATTGAATAATCAATATTACAGTTGCTTGACGCAAATTATTTATGTTTGTTTAATAATAAATATGGGTTTCAAAAAAGTGTCTCTCGAATGTTCTTTCATAATAAATTGTCGTCTAGTAGATGTTGTTTCTGGTGAAAACCATAACTAGATATTTCATTGAAATAAATTATTTGTCGTACTATTGCTTAATACACCAAAATCATTGGTATTAGATGGTTGAAGATTTGCAGAATATGTGGAAGATGACAACATACTAGAGAATATTAGTATATTGTTTAATTAAATAATGTTTAATTGTTCGATGTTTGTATTCTACAAATATGGTCATGATTTAAATGTGATTGTATAACTTAGAGTGTGGAATATCCTTGTACCTACAATTCTGCACGCCCGAACTTGTTCACCAGAAGATTTTTAAACTCATTATAATTTTACCACGATGATTTCTTTAGGATTTTCCGAATTCGATGATAACGCATTTTAATTAACATAGAGTTCACGTGACAAGTATTTGGTTACGATGGTGGTCATATATATATATATATATCAAGCTAATTTTTTGACAGTCATTAATGAAAGTTTACTTATTCGATAGTTTGTTTCCAAATTGTATGAAATACTTTCTTACTCATCTATAAGTTTAACGTCTTCTATGGTCGACAAAACAAAAACCTATTAGTATGTAATACAGTACAAAGAGTAACAAAATGATGTCTATTGTCTGAGATTGTTAGCACAGGAGTTTCATCGAAATTATCAAATTTTTTTTAAAACTTTACATCTTAACGTTCTAAATTCGATCTCCTTTAGCAAGGTATTGAATGCTCACTGCTGAACATCATTTAAGGTTGAAATAGCTATCCAGTTATTCTCAGTTTCCAGTTAGGGTTTAATTAAGATAATTTTGTATTGTATCACCGGCGGCCTGCTTGAATATCTGGGTTACCTGTTCCTCCGATCTAGTTATCTGTTTTCTTGTTTGTTTTAGCACATCATTATGTCTATTGTGCTCACAATCTATTCAGGCGCGTTTATGAAAAGTTTACAACCTTTCGCTATACGGGATACAAAAAGGTACAATCAGCGACATCATGATGGCTGGCAATATGCATTGAAACGAATGAACATTAATGAAATGTGGGTTACCGAACTCCTAACATCTAACTGGTCATCATTCAAAATTGATCGTCACAATCGATCAAGATATAAGAAAAGGAAACTTGTTGAAATACTTTATGCTGAGAATTCTATGTTTTACCAAAAATATAATGTTGAATAAAGCTTATTATAATAATAATAATAAACTATTGTTATTGGAATCACTTCACTCTGAAGCCATATAAAAGTAGACACTATTGAACTATAATAAATTAATTGAAATGGTATCTCAGTTAATACTGTACCATAAAGTTACCAGGTTCGGTTTCATACAGGCGTATGAGCGTGCACTAATACTTTCGTAACTAAACTCCTCAACTAAGATAATGACTGTTGGGGTGTTCCAGCAAATTTCTCGCAAGAGACAAGCAAGAATCAGGAAACACTAAGAAGCGTTTCCTCCAATCAGCGTTCACTTGAAGTCTTAGCCAAAAATATCAAGGGAGCGAAACGTCACATGCAGAGGTTCTGATTGGCTGGTTGCTACACTGCTACTATGTTTAGTAGCATCCCAGAATCTTCGAGCAACCCAAGAACATCTGAAAATATTATAAAAACCCTGTATTTTCTGTATTAAAATGAACCTTGGAGTAAAGTACTTCTCGTATACTTTGAGTCTTCTCTATCGTGTTCAGGTCGCTGTATAGTTCTAGATTCGGGGTTATAGAATAGCTTAGGAGACGAATATAGCGTTCAATACGCAAGATTAATCAATGACATCCCTTATTAAAGTAATTTAAGATTAAAAGAATGGTCAATTGATTAGAATATATCAACATTTCAAGTATTTAACAAATAAATAAAAAAAATATAATCGTCAGTCATATTCCTTATAAACAAGTGTTTGTTTTTATTATAACCATTCAAAAAACTACCACAGCTAAAAAATAATTAGCAAAGTTAATTACCAGAGTTATTCTCTCATTAAGTTAAATTAGTGAACTGTTGTTTAAGTTCATAATGGTGCACAACTACAATACAAATTATTACGAGTATTAACAAAGACTAATACTAAAACAAGTTGAATTCATTAAATATGATAAGAATAACTTCATCAAATACATACATATATCTTTTATATATCAGTCAGAATGTTTGTTATAACTATGGTGAGTTAACTAGCAAACCCATGGTGATTATGTAAATATTTTTAAAAAAATTATTATCATTATTATTATTAAGATATTATGTCTCCTTATTTCCTAAGGTCATTAAAATTACGTTACCTTCTATTAAAAAAGAGGTCGTTTATATGTTGTTTATTTACTATTTGGTTTATATTTAAGAATTAATTGAAAATAGTATTACACTACAAAGAAAAACATCTACAATGTTTACTTCATAAAATTTTGAGTTTACCTCATTCACATTATGTAAACAATGTAAAATTGGGATGGTTTAGAACGTAAAATTTTATGAAAAAACTTACTGATAAAGTTTTGTAGAAAAAGACTACTCTAACTAGAAAGCAATGAACAGCGATTTTATTCTAGTGAAGGACTCTTTTGAAGTGGATGTCCACAACGTCATCGAGAAATCAAACCCCGGAGGTTTAGGTATTGCATCAATTGCTTAACCTTTAGACCGTTGATTTAGCATCCAATAGTTTAAATGTCTAACTAGTCAGTTTGCACTGTTGTCGACACTAACATTTGAATTGAAATGACAGTTATTAAATTTTTTGGATATAACAGATTATGCAACAATTATTAATGATTTTGGGAGTTCGAATTTTAATCAGTATAAAATAAAACCGTATAAACATGATTATATTGAAGGAAATAATGATCAGTTTATCTTCCAGTGTGAAATAAATCTTCATCTCCCTTCCGATTGTCCTCACCCGTTTATTGGACTGTATATTTTGATGCGTTAGTTTTACAAAGTCGGAAATTTGTATGCCAACCAGTCAATGGAAATTCAACAATGGAGATTCCGTTCAGGTACTTGATTGTAATACTTATAATGTACTACTGATTATTATTCAAAAAAGTGTTTTATTTTATCGCAGTGATAGCGATAAATTATCAGTGAAGAGGTTTATATACATATCACCAATTTCTTAAATATCATGATCATCCTAGTAAAGACAGTGTAGTCAGTCATATCGAATAGAATAAGAACAACAGTCTTGAATTTTCACTAACTATCCTCAAATGATCAGTATAAGGTTGTTGAGACTGTTGAGTTTTGATTGAGATCATCAACCAATCAATGTTAGACAACCACTGAAAACCTGGAAGTGCTGTACGGTGTTTTTTTCTAGCGGGGGTTTCTCAACAGTGCTCATCCACGATCCCACACAAGGGACAGAAACCGAGGACCTCCGGTCTCGCACAAGAGTGCTTAACCTCTAGTGCTTCCGGGTTTCCGATGGTTGTCAAACATTGATCGGTTCATGATCTCAATTATCCTCAGATTGATTATTAGTTTGAATAAATCAACTGACTATTCACCACATCATAACTATCAATGTTTAATACAGCATTCGTTCACGAGTATTCCGTGATTTAGCTTAATCATTTAAAATCAATGCCTTTTGTCAAATCTAGTTTATTTAAACAAATTTTTAACGAAAATCTGATAGATTATTCGTTAATTTTATAAATTTTACAACGCAGCATAGTCTAAATATGCATGAAAAATAGTAAATATGATTATCTTTATAAACATTTTGTATACATTACTAGAAAGACTCTATCAAGATACCTTTTTTGAACAAATACCATGAATTCAATGAATATACTCCACAGATTACATATTTTTTTGTTCTGAACAATGATCTTTCATTACAGAAAATACAAAATGGAATAGAATTTCTACAAAAGTAATATGTACAATTATAGAGAAATAGACAAGTACATAATTTATACGTACCATAACATGAAATATCATCATTACAATTGATTGTTAACAATTCATGATAGAAAGAAATTATTGTATTATTTAAATATACTAGTTATATTGAAATAAAGATCTATGAAAAATGAAGTGAAAAAACAATCTATTGTCAACATACAAAAATGAAATACGAATAGATAAATGATTAATATTTCATTGCACATTACACATTTCTTTAGGTAGTTGTACAAAATTATTCACTAATCCAATTGGACGTAAATGATATAAGAAATATTCTAACATATACATCATATCTGGTGTAACATAATGAAAACTGATTCCAACATCACTAAGTAATGACTTAATGATTATCGGTACCAAAATGAATGATTATGACATGATTATTATCATTATTGTCAAATGATGAAAAAAAGGGGGAAAAAATTTTTCTTAAATAAATTGTAAAGGAAAGTAATGCAAATTAACACTGTACATCATTGAATAGAAAGTTCTTCTAACTATAGAGATTTATCGTTGTTATCTTCACATTCGAGTATCATAATTAAAACAAGATATCAATTTTTATAGAAATCATAACATTTATATCAATGTAATAATTCAATATTTACATATGAATTAGTATGGTTAAACTTATTCCAGGCAATAATTAATTAATTTAATGACTGATGTAATAGGGCTCAATTGAATGAGCGGTAATGTTTGAAACTACTATTGATTTTATCTGATTATACAGTGTAAAATAAATGTCAAGAAAGATTCGAATCTATAATAAAGTGATTGCAAGTCAAATAATTTAATCAGTAAGACATTGTACTTTAAATAATCAGAACAATATGTCATTATTTGTTTGAACTAAATGAATTCATTCGGCTTTAGTGTATTATTAGATCTTGAAGTTAATAGAAGAATTTATATTTTCAATGTCAGATGTTACGATATAGTTTACGAGATAAGGCGTTTCAAAGTTAACAAAATGGATCCTAGCTTAAGTTTCGGAAGAGGTAGATATTCTTTGAAAAGAATAAGTACCCATCTGACCTCTACCATGACCAGTTTTTGATGTTCATGTAAACAACACATGTTTTTAAACAGCCACATTAACATATCGGTGTGTATTAAGTACATTGTAATGTTCCCAATCTGACAGACGACTGTTGGAACTTCTTTACCTTTTCCATACTCCTGCTTTGACTCGGAAACTTGAACTTTTGCACGTCTCCACTGACAGCTTAACCTAAAGATTTCAGGTCACAAGTCAAACGTGCTATAATTAAACCACTGAGTAAGAAACCGATGGTTCTTACTTACTAATTCAGTCAGTTTTTGTTAGAGAAGGATAATCTTCTATTGCTGACAGGTGACTGTCACTTACTCGGCACAGCTTAGCTCCATTAATCAACAATTCTTCTTGAAACTTCGGGAATTGATTTTCGGTTGGCTACAAGATCGTTAAAATTGTAGCATATAAAACTGAGTAGTTCACACAATGTGTGTAAATGCTTAAAGTTAGAGTGTATATAACTGTTTTACGTGTTAACTGTATATATTCAAAATGTAACAAAGAACGATTTCTACTATAGTAAATAATACAGTTCGTAATATTTATTGAAACATGAACGGTAAACAAGTAAAATCTAGTCTATGGATCAGTGCACATAAGTACAAACCATGATTGTAAGTAAACTTATTATATTCTGCAACCCATGAAATGTTTATTTAGTTACCCATCTCTTGTATTTTCTATTTTCTCGGCGGGTAAAAAAAAACACTCGACAGTTGGATTTCAAATATAAAGAAAAAAGTAAAAATATAAATTAATCGGACATCTAAAATTACTTGATGTGGTGCTGCATATAAGGTTTGCGGTTGTAATTTCACAGGACGCCAGTGCAAACTTCGAAAAGATGTAAAATTCAACAACATATCAAGCGATCTCCAACGGAATTGATAACGACCAAGTATATCAAATACATCATATAAGCGAACACCAACTGCTTGTCCACATATACCTATATAAGTTGAATAACGTACAGGAGTCAAAAATTATTTCTGCAATTTACTTCAAGTTACAAATGTGGATATAACATAAAAGATGTTTTCCACGTTTTTAAGAATCAATTATTTTCACTATATTCATGAACACTTGCCTTATAGTGCGCTTACGCATGTCCGTCAAATTATCGGCTTACAAATATAAATATCATGAAGGAAAAGAAAACTGAAAATATTCTTTTATCAACAAACTGGAAAAATAAATAAATTCATGCATGACATATGAAAGGGTTATTTAGTTTCTATTTTCGGACATTGTTTTTTTATATTAATATTGAGCAGAGTAAATTAGACTTAATTTACGAATTTTGTAAGTCAATCGAATTGAATTCACTGTTAAGTAGATTTATTGACTTGTTATGACAGTCTTTCATTCCATGTAACCTCAGCTTACGTGTATATTATAGAAATTTTCTTGAAGATTGTTGGTTAGAAGCAACTACTAAAAAGTCCTGACCTAAGATTTTCTCTGTTTGGTACTCCTCTTGAGTTTTGTGGATAGGTGTTGATGCCACTTCGTGTCACAGTCAGAGAAGTTGACAGTTGAGGTAGTCGTGATAAGACAATTGATCTGTAGGATTGTAATGTTTACAAGCTAACTGACCAGTTAGTAGAAGATGGTCTCATACTGACTCCTCTATGGTGTTTATCGGAGCTTATCGACCAAGATAGGGTTCAACCACAAAGCTGAATATGGTTTGATAATGGGTGTTAACTAGTGAAAATCCTAGATCCAAGGCTTCCTGTTAGTTGCGTTAAACCAATAACTCGCCAAAGAATATGGTACACATGATGTCGGGTCACTAAAACTAGTGGTCAAATTGCAATGTAATCAATGGAATTCGATCAGTTCTAAGGAGTAGACAAGTATGACATTGATGACTGATTAGTGGTCTATCAGTGTACGGTGAATCTTTTGATTGATAGTTATGATGATCGAAAACGATCAGTATGATTAAAATGATTAGGCTCATTATTAATATTTTAATAAGAAAATAATAGTAATAACAAATGTATGAACTATTTACATGAATCTTGAAAGTATTTCAACTGGAAAAATATTATTTGTACCATTAGTTATGCAAGGAGAAAATTTGTTATCGTCACATTTTCTATTAGAAAATAACTATATCAAAATGAATTTCAACAGATGAGAAGGCACATAAACATAAAACTAATGTAACAACCCATATGGAAGAGGTAATTTAATTATAGAGTTGAATTTTAACCGAAAAAGACAATCAGCATGAATACAGAAATAAATTAAGACAACAAAACCTAAAAAGATAATCACTCAAAATTAGTGCCATCAGAACAAACTTATACAGCACTTGTAAAATAATTATAAAGCTCACTTTTACATTAAGTAAGCTCTGATAGTTTTGTTCAAGATTGCAACAAAAACATCTAGTTTATGTAACACAACACCACTAGAAACATACACCGGAGCTACAGATGCCCAACTCAATAAATCTACTTCCATCAAAAGATGGGCTTTTTAAACCTTTAATAATATTTAGTATGTATTTATAGATGAAAAAAGATAAATTTCAACCTGAAATATAGGGTTCATATGCAGTGCATATTTGTTTTAGGAAATAAATAACCAGAATCTTTTATTTATTTCGAATTTACCTCCGCTTCTAACACTAACAGTCATTTCTGTTTATAATCAATTCACGATACTGAGCGACAATCTCTCATTGTCTTTGATGGGTAACTGCCTCAAAACCGAATATGGATTAACTCCACTGATTACGCTTCTCTATGGAACCCCGAGAATCACCTCTCGAAGCGAGTCACAAGTGAACTCATGAGCACATAATTTCAATAAAAGCTCGTTTGCTAACTGGACTGTTTATATTATTATTATTGTTATTATTACTACTATAATTTCGTTCTCATACACTAATTTCTGTTCGTTGATCTTGTTATTATAAGTACCTTACATTCACTATCTCTTTACAACCGCATTGTTATTATGTGGCGTATATGTATTTGGAGCTCCCTTGTACTAATGTTTGTGTGTTAAAATAAATAGACAGTAAAGGTTCAACAATCTCCACAACCCTGTACTGATAAAGAGTTTATATTACCATACAGTCAAAATAAACAAGATTATTTAAAATAAAAAACGGTCAAGTAGTTGTGAAAAATGAAGGAATAACGAGAAACTAGGAGTTCTAATGACAATTAACGTGGACTACACAACAAGTCAACAATGTTAGTTTGTTAGTTACTTTTAAGGTAAACTAAGGAAAATGAAAATTTATGAATGACTTATTCTCGTTTCAATGAACATATTAATATTAATAACTTTATTTGATCATTCCGATATATAAGAGACTTGTCCTAATCAGGTTGCTGATTATAGACGACTATAGACTTCTTTCGTTGATACAAACTTTAAAAATATCGAACATTTAAGACAAGGTTATGATTTGTAACAAATCATGCTTTTACGAGCACAGCATCCAGTTTGACTCCTGAAGAATTTCAAGGATTTTGCAAACAAATAAAGATCGTAAAAGTTTATTCACTATAACAGGAAGTATTTTAAATGATGTTAACATAGATATATTCTAAATTTTATAAAATAAGCTTTAATGAACTGTTTTCACGTTTATTTGAAAGGGTTATTATATGCCGGATATGTCTGGATTCTGGTAGGCGAAGTTTTGAAGAATACTAATAATTTTACTTACTCATTTTTACATCTTCCATATTTTCATCATAAACTGGACAATTATGATGTCTGTCAATTGACTGTTCAACTATACGCTTTAATGCTTCTCTAGATAGAACGTAGCCTGCACCACCAGAAAAATAACCATTTCGAGCAAGAATCTAAAAGCCAAAGAAATGGTACATATATTGATTAACAAAATTGTATTTAATAATTCTATCTGAATATATACTGTACTTGTTTGTAGTTTGAAAATTCCACATATTTCTATAGCTTTGCTTTGTGAATGCTTTAAAATGAAAATTTTAGACAAAAGTTGATTTGTTTCAAACGATTCTGAAGTCAATCTGTTTTTCATGTTCACTGTAATTTAATAATGATCGTTTCACTCGAGAAATTTTGAAATTCAATCAGTTAGACTAGTAATCAAAGAAATGTACACAGATAATATGTATCAAGTGAAGTTAATTTCACTGTAATTATTTTTAGTTGCCATATAGATAAAGAGATCATTTTCATTTCTAATAGAACATTATTATGTGTTTCGTTAAGATACGTGATAATAAACAAACATTGTATATCGTTTAGTTAAAAATATTAAACAAAATAACTGATAGACATATTATTCATTAAAGACCATTTACATAATTGAATTAGCAACAAAGAAATACTTAAGAATTCCTTTAAGTAAAATGAAAGACGTAGTGATAATCAAAATAACCACAACTAAGAAAAGGCGAGAAAAGTAAGCTTATAGGAGTTTTTTATGTAAGTTATTAACCAAAAGCATAAATTCTCTAGACTCTAGACTATTATATGGAGATGAACTAGAACAGTCTATCGAGTCATTCGAAAACCTATGTTAAAATTGATGTTTAGAGAAGTAAATTAACCCACTGTTTCAATAGTAAAGAATTAAGAAAATTCAGATGATTCATAATGTAGTTACACGGGAATCGTCTATCAAAATAATCTAAACAGTCAAAAGAGTGGGATTAAATGGTGGTTGTGTCAAAAACTTGTGCACTGCTAAGGCGTTGGCAGTCAAACAATGCTGAGTACAAAAGTAACATGTTCATTTTATCATTCTATCTTAACCCTCACACCAATTTCGATATGTTTTGTTTTTATTTTCTCACTGTTATAGTTTACTTCTTAGATCAGTAAACAGCTACTGTTACCGCCTTACAATTTTTCATAACCAGAGTTCAGCTGTTATTAAAAATGAAATTATATTTGTCCAAATCTTAGCGATTGAATGTAAATACAACTTTTGAGTCAACAGTCTGGTTCAACCTTTTTTAAAGGAATTTAATCAATCATCAAAATTCTTGAATATAAATACATTATGGTATGTGCTACTTATATTGACATAAGTAGTATATGATGTTAGTCGTGAACAGGTCTGGCAGCAGAGAGACAAGAGGATCGAACAGTAAAGAATGGAAACATGATGCAATTTGTATGAAAATGCAAGAACAATGAAGCTTGAGTCATTGTGAGACAATTGATGGACATTTTGCAAATTACGTATTTACTATTTGATTGTTAGATTTTATTTGCAGGTCCTGTAATTCTGTGTCAAATGCACTAGATTGTTTTCACCCGTGTTCTGTTCACTACAACATGATACACAGATTACTTGTATACCAAACAGTTCATTCAGTCATGTTAAAAGTGATGAGATCGGGATTTTACGTAGTGAGTAGGAGTCATTTCGAGTGAGAAAGTGGGAAAATGCAGTTAGATAACAGATATACATGTGTGTATGTAGATTTGGTGTGAGAAAATAATTTCATCAACTCTGGATGGCTGTGGTTGATGATGATGTTGGGTTATGTGATAGATGCTAATCGAGCGTGTTATAGCATGCATAAAAATGATAATAAATAAACAAAAATACAAACTAACGAGCGAAACGTTTGATTTATTTTAAGTTGAGATTTTAATAAGTAGAATTTCCTTCTTTAGTAATATATCCTTGACGTTTTGCATTTCTTCTTCATATCCGTCAAGTGGGTAATTTCTGATCCGTAGGTCTTTTTCATCTCCCTACTTTTCATTAAATTCTAGACCAATATGTAATCGTGTTTTGATACTTAAAATCTCAGATCACTAAGTCGTATTGAATAGAAATAAGATCGGAGATTTGAGCAGAATAAAATGAATCCATTTTATGATTCAATTTTTGTCTGTAATTCGATAACTTCATCAAATTATTATCCCACGAATATATGGCCTACCTAAAGAATATAACAAAGATATCCCTCTACGTCCTATATTAGACATGAATAACTCTCAATATCATGCCATCGCCAAATGGCTAGAGGAAATTCTACGATCAGTCAAAGATCAACTCAATAGATACACCACTGCTGATTCGTTTGATTTTGTCGATTCAATATTGAGTCAACGTAACCGGAAAGAAAATGACCTCGCTAGATGCTTTCTTTCTTTTTACAAATATACCTTTAACCGAAACAATATGCTAACTGTAATTATATATTAATATAACGAACTCGATGTCCATGTTCTAACATATTATTTGAAGGAGCTAATTCTTCGACACACTCTTAACGTCCAGTTTAAATTTAACAATGATTTCTATAGACAAACTGGGCAGCCTATGCTCTTTCACGAGGGGTAACAGGCATAAATAAGTGTATAGATAAACTGACGACGTAGCGATGGAGTCACTAGTTGGCCCAGTTTTAGGTGACTTTTATTGCTAATCTCGAAGACACTATACTTAGACCAATATTTGACAGCCTTTATCTATACAGGAGATACTTTGACGACACATTTACAATTTGTGACAAAAATATAAATGTCAACAACATCCTAGGCGCGTTCAGCAACTGTTATCAATCAATCAGGTTCACAGTAGAATCCGGTCGCATTCCGAACTCCATATCTTAGATGGTTAGGTGAAAAAGAGACCTGACGGTTCCCTACAAACATCGATATATTGGAAGTCAACATGGAATAGTCAGTACACGAATTTTCAAAGTTGGGATTAAATGAAGCAAAGGAGAAACCTAACACATTCTCCATGTTGGAGGGTTAGACGTATCTGTAATAAAGATACAGTTGATACCGAAATTACTAAACTACGGCAGATAGAGATCAACAATGGATATCCACCTAGATCCACTGAGAAAATTGTAAGCTAAGACAACAACGTGAGTCTCCGTAGCATGAAAGAAGACTCTCTTTATGAACATTCGTTTTAAAGGAGACAGTGCATCAGAAATCCTGAAAAACAGCCTATGCTTAGAAGTTGTGTGAAGAATAAGCTTCCGCCTTGGGTCAAATTTGTTTACTTGCTCGTGTGGAGCAGGTTGTATTGGTCGCGCAAAACGAGCTATTTTGGAACGCATCTCCGAAAATTACCCTGTTTAACTATCCAAGGAATTAAAGAAGTTACTCAAGATAACAATCTTAGAGTATTTAGTAATTTTCGATCACTTCGCTTCACCAGAAGCCCCCTTCAAAATCATGCAAACAATCAGAAGGGTTAGCTCAATAGGAATGTAAATGAAAAAAACTTATGTACAGCCGAAGCTGTTGTTATCCACCAGTTTAAGACTCACTTTTGCGTACAAAACAGTATGTTCAGTCCCTCATTCTTCCATGTCCCTAAGCTCCCTTTCTATCTTCCATAGTCTATTGTTTTTATTTGTTTTGTTATTTCTACTCCTTTCCAGTTATTTTCACAACTATTAATTAGCAATTATTGCAATTTTTAATCATTTTGTTATTAATATGTGTCAAGTGGACAATTATTTTCACTTTACTACTTTTCACTAGCCAATTATCACATAACTTCTTGTCAGTATCCTATTTTCAAATCTTGACAACATACCACCTCAAGTTATTTTAAATAATTAGTACACTTCTATTTTATTGTAGAACACTATTTTAGCAAATAAAATTAACGATAAATACAACTGTACAGCTTAATTAAATGAAATTGTCGAAAAGTAAATTTTATTTTTTATTACAGGAGTATTTCCCGTATTACGAATCATTGTGCCATTTGATATCTGGAAGGTAAACGTATTTCTCATTGGAAAATAAACTTTGAAATAGATCAAAAGTCAATGAATAAAATTTGCTGTAAATGAGTATATGAATTTTCAAATTGATTCTTTTCTTAATAAAAAACTTGGATATTTAGCATCTTCAATAATTATCTTTGAAGTTAAAGTTTTAGCCAATTAATTGGTAGTGATAAGACATTTTTGCACCAACGAAATTCAATTCTTTAAATAACTGTTTTACAGTTGATGCCACATTAAATCCATTAACAAATTCCATGTCTTATAAACATGGTAGTCTAATGAATAAAGTAAAAATGACCCAAGTTTTCAAAAAATACGGTATATATTATGGACGATAAATTGTCTTTGAATGAAAGAACGTTACGCGTCATACTTGGTTATGAACATGTAAAAATCATGAAATATTGATTAGTATTGTTTTCGGTTTCATTATTGACATCTAGACTTTTAGTAAAACAAAGTGTTTATCATAAATGAGATTTTTAACTCTTTTGCATAACAATTAAAACCTTTTATCTCAACTCTAGGAAGGTAAACTATCCCTCCATATATCTTGAATTTTTAGTGGAAACAGACTCATGAAAACTATGTCACATAATTTCTTAAATAATTCGTTTTAGATCATACTTCGATTGATCCTATTTTCATGATACAAATATTTGTGATTTGGAAAATGATACATTTTGAACTAAAACTACTGTTCACATGATATATAAGTAACACAATCGCAAACACCAATCTACTGGTAGCATATACGATAATATATGAGTCACCTGTCTAAGCTCGTTCGATTTTCTCGAAATTCCACCACCTCTAATGTAGGGGAGTTCTTTGTCTACCAATCAAAAGAAAATTATACTAATTAGAAGTAAATTTTGCTTTCTGTCCTGTAGCGTAGATTTTGGAATTAAGGGATATACCCTAAATGCTGGTATTTGACTGTAGATGTCTTTAGAGTACTGTTTGTTAGTAGTGAAACAACTGAATGATCAATGCTGATGTTAGATTTAATGTACTGGACGAAGATTTATTGATTAGACTGTGAACCTTCATCGATAAAAGTGGTTGATTATATGTGCTATGTGACCTCAACCACCGTTAACTACAATTATCTATACTAAGTGGCGTAGAACTAGGTTGGAAGGAAGTTTGGGCAGTTAAAACAATTCATGACTAATCACTAGCTCTTGACTTGGTTTGTGTTGGTAGCTGAAGACTATATGGTTGGAAACCGTGCGATAATCTGGATCAGTGGTTGGAGATCTTAGGTAACATGGTTCAAAACTAGTTGCAATGATAGGTATGTTAATTATTTTTTGTTATCTGATTGATTCGAATTTTAAGTTTTACTCTATATTTAGTTGTTTTTATTATGATAAATTCGACCGTTGTCCCAACTTCCTTTGGATTTATCTAGGTATTTCATCTCTCTGTGCTGACATTATGTGGCAATATATATCGAAACATTTATTCTCAAACCTGTATTGACTGTCCCTGATTGTTTAACCACCTAGGCTTCCTTGCAAAAACTTACATTCAACTATAATACCACAAGAAACAATAAATAATAGGTGAAGATACACATTATTTACCGGAAATCTATGCCCAAGCATAAAAGGCATATCTGGTGAGTAATTCTGTAAAACATTCAATAAATTTTCCATAATTACGTAGGCATCATCATCGGTCTTTAAAAAATAATCATAATCATTACGAAATTGGTAAATGTAACGAAGTATGATGCGAAATTTACTCCATAAATGCATTCTCACTTCTGGATACGGTAATTTTAAAACTATAAATGTAATAAAAAAAAGGAAATTCAGTTTTAATTCTTTTCGGGAAATTTACACAGGTGAAAGATAATAACTTTAATCATTTACTTTCCTTGACATAAAATGAATCAAAATAATTTCCAATTTAATCAAGATTAGGTTTTTTTCAAGGATTTCATTTATTTGGAAAGAATTTTCAGATTTAAGACCGTAACTGTTTAATAACAATTTCTTTCGTCATGGTTTGGTTACTAATCGTCTACGAATTGTTCTCTAGTCGTGTATAAAAAGTTGATTTCATTTAAATAACTATCTCATGAATCATTGTATCAAAGATGAGATCGACTGAAAACAGACCACGAAAAATGGTTTTTATCTCATGTAATCAATCATAGTGATAAAGTCATTTCTAGAGGCTTTTACATTAGTTTTAGTGGCTTGGTATCTGAATCCGGTTACACCGTTTCTGATTGTTATGGAGTTATCGGAATATACATCCTGTTTACCCTCTTATATTATTATCGAGTTAAATTGCATTAGTGAATAATCGAATTAAATAAGTCAAATACGGGAATAGATTTTCGAATACGTCGTACAATCGTTGATCAGAAATTGATGCAAAACGAAATGACGCGCAGTGGAGAAGTTGAGTGAGCCAACTAGATTTATTCCAGCGTTAATTGATATTTATAGTCAGAAAAATTAGTTACAGACATGTGATGAATAGGATAAGAAGTGCACACAAATAGGCCCACGTAAAAACAATCAAGGTTGACAAGTGAATAATTAACAAGGTCAAAATGTGACTCAAGAAAAATGGATAAATTGGCCTGTCCGGAAGCTATAATAAACTATGTGGGCTTGACATAGCAACTAACACCACAAAGACAGTGGCTATCTGAATTTAAAACCTCGATGAAAAGCACATTGACACTGAGCATGAAAAATTCAGGGTCCGAGTTCCTATGTGAACATTAGTAGTGAGGTCTAAATATTTCCAGCTGACAATTCCTAAATATAATAAAATACGCATCGTGGATTCCACTGCTAGCCGCTATTTAACTCTGCCTTAAGTAATAAAATCTTAAATTATCTTTTAGGATAAATAAGTGGGATATATTGCAGAGTTGTCTATCATTCTTTGGAATTTAACGACTGATATCGTTTAACTATAAAATAACGATGCGTTGTCTGTTCAACAAACATCCAGATTGAACTACTTATGTCATTATTAAAATTTGAGAAAACCTCCAGGTAGCTCATAAAGTATTTATGAAGATTACACATTAAGTAAAAAAGCAGTTTTCAGATGAATCAAACTATTCAGTGTTTTTAAGAAAAAAAAGCAAGGAATAATACTCTCCGATTCAAATGCGGGTTATTTTCATATGCTGAATACGGTTGTGAACATTGGCATAATTAAACATTGTATCAAGTCCCTAGTAAAATTTTCACACTACATCCATTTGATAATAATAATAATAATAATAATAATAATAATAATAATAATAATAATAATAATAGAATTTTAGTCGCGTACCAATATACATTTTATTACGATTGTAGTTTTATAATAATCAATAGTACTCTTGAACAAAATTAAATTTTATAGACGTAACTTGTATTTGATATTTCATTGCTCGTAAAGTCAATTGAAAGCATAAAAACTCTTTAGGCCTCGTAACGACTGACTAACAAAACATACTCATTCAGTTATACTAAAGTTTAGAAGAATCTAAGTATTAAATTCACTTGGTATTGTTTACTTGAATCTTATCATTGATGTTTAGCACTGCAATCGGTCAGTCTCTAATTGGCATATATGCATACTGTATAGGAAGAAATCTACGTCCTGGATTCCACTGCTAGCCACCATCCATCTTTGCTTATAATTATTTTAAGTCTTGCTAAAACAAGAAACTATTCCCAGAATCATGTGAAATTCTGTCACAATCAATCTTTTTATCCGCATCTATGATTTTATGGATTTTGATAGTAAAAACTAAAATATTTCAGTGGTTCATCATCAATGTATATAAACATTACATCATTATATGGTTTCTATTGTTAGTTCAATTTATCCAAGACGAAATTTGGAGTATTTCATTAATTCGACAACCGACTAAAAGTGAAAACCATCATTGTTATATCGTAACAAATCAAACTGTTGTAAACAGAGGGAGGGAAAAGGTAAACATTTTTGGTTGACTCAAACTGTCATAAATTAGTGTATATTCGGCAAGCGTTGTTCGATTCGAATAGTGCCCAATTTCATATAAAAAGTCCAGATAATATATGTAGTAAACGATGGCATAGCAGCATCATGGATTGATAGAAATTAGACTTGTACTCCATTGGATCCCAGCTTAGTGACCTAAAAGTTAAGGGTTTGTGTTGTCAGCTCGATGATTCTGGGTTCGATTCCCGGTAGTGGGGTCATGGATGAGCACTCCTAGGGGACCGTAATAAAACAAAATGGCTCTCTAGTGCTCATATATATTCACTGGCTGTTTAACTTAGGTCAGTTCGCAACTTCACCGAAATAAAACAATCTCCACAAACCCCTATTGGTGATATATTTTGGTTGTAAAATGATTAAAGTCAGTCAGTAATCGAACGGATCCTTCAGTAATGACCCACAATAAATGAAACACTTTGAATATTACATATTTATTGCCGACACATAAATAATATAATTATAGGTACATATACATAATAAATTTATTCTACAAACACGAAACCGTTAATTGTATTTTATGAAGTGAGTAGCTTCATAATGTATGAAAACAGACTTAGTGTTTTTTAGGATGATATTTAATAATAATAATGTTAGTTGTTATTTCATACAAAGTATAGGGACAAACAATTCTTTTAGTTTAATGAAAACATAGTATGTGTTAATTATAGATGGTTTTTATGAAAATGACGTATTTTTGACAGTAAGATCGTACTACGTAAATTGAAAAGTACTGTCACAAGTCAAGGAAAATGAGAACGCATACATACAGAAATATTCTGGATAATTCACACATCAACAATCTTTCAGAAAATATTGTACCAGCATCATGTAAAACATATAAATATTATTGGTTATCAAAAGGATCACAATTTTTTAACACTATACACACTAGTAACGTCATGCCATCTGAATCCTCATTAAAAGTTGTCCATAAACTCAAGTGAAGCGATTTATAAACAATTACAAAGCAGGAATTTATGTAGACCAGAGACATCAACAGTTCACCGATTCCACTCCAATCTATGCATACAAAAGCCCTATGTCAAGTCTTTCGTTGTACTATCGTCCTAACTCCCATTTGTTCTTTATAATTATTAATTGGCTATTATTACATTATATTATTCTGTTCATCATGAACAATTGTCTCCTTTACAAAATATCTTAGCGAACTTTTATTCACCATTACATTATTACATAACTTCCTTTTTATGTCTGATACTTACAAATAATTTATCGAAAGTTTCTTTCTGTTAATCAAGTTGACAATTATCCTTGTTACCTACTATGTAATTTCTTCGTATACTTGATGAAATTTCCGATCACTTTTTATATGATGTTATATTTTTTTATTTTATTCAAGTCTGATGTATTCTCAAAAACTATTATCACACTTGTAGAGCTTCAATAAATAACATAATCGAAAGGGAAATTTTCTTTTCTAAATTGTCTTTATTTCTTCTAAATTTCAACAGAAAGATAATGTACTGACGATACACCCTAAGAGAGACTAATCAATGTGAAAAAGTGCTTAAAGGACAACGAATACCCACTAAAAGTTACTAAGAAATAAGCGAAATGTGAAGATGAAAAACTCAAAGGAAATACAGAAAATAAAAACCATTTTTTATTCAACCTAAATTCAGAGGTGATTATGTCACAGGGTCAATCAGTATGAGACTAAAAACTGCATTGACAAGGACTTATCCTACAGCTAAACTGATCGTCTTGTCCAAAACAGCATTTTCTTTAACACAATCAAACATCGATAGGTATCCCTTTCATTTTACCACCAACTATGTATACGAATTAACATGTGTTTGCCAAAGCAGTTACATGGATAGAACAGAAAGGAGAGCCTACATCCGATTCAAAAAACATATTCCAAAAGTCGAAAGGTCAAGTCGATTAAAAGCATCCAGCAGTGCCATCTCGAGACATCTCCTTGATATTGGACATCAAGTCGACACACTGAGGTCTTTTAAAGTGATCAATAAACAATCAAACTCTAATCTTCCACAATTCGCCAAAGCGATAGCAATCAAACGTCTAAAACCAGATCTATCTGTTCAAAAAGAACCACTCATAAATCCTCATTTGCCCTGATAACATTACATCCTTTTTATCGCATCACTTATTATTTAAACTCTTTTCCATCTTTTGATTATATCATTGTCATTTTTTGTCAATTCATAATTCACTGATTTCAACTTATATCTTTCTTTATTACCATTAATCTGTTTTCGGTTACTTCATTACACAATCATCTAATGTTTGTTAACTCTACGAGTTCGAATCACTATTTCAATGTTCTGGAACTCTCCCTTCCAAACTTTATTTATTTATCTGTAACAAATTTTTTATGGTCTTATTAACTCTATTGAAATCTTAGTTACATCATGATACACACATATTCATCACTAATCACTGTCGCATTTATAAGTATGTCAATATCTGTAATAACTTTGATTTTTAAACATTATAGGTTGTGAGCAGCTGATGAGAATCCAACGAAATAAAATGAATTCATATTGTTATTCACCAATCTTCGTTCTTGCTCTCTTGAACAATAAAAAGGATAAGTTATGTTATATAATGAAAGCAACTCAATTTATCATTGAGCATGAACAGAGAGAATTCAGCGAAGAAAAATTTCTTTTCTACTATTTCAACTATTAAAGTTGTGCAGTCATATTCACAATGATTTAATAAATTAATGAGTTTATCAAATTACAGACAAAAATTAAATCATATAATAGAATCACGTTATTCAGCTCAAATCTTCGCACTGAGATTTCAACTTTCAAAACACGATTGCATATTGGTGTAGAATGTAATGAAGGATAGGGAAATGAAAAACACTTATAGATTAGAAATTGAAGAGAAATTGCCCAGATGACGACATGAAGAAGAAATGCAAAACGTCAAGGTCACAAAACTAATTGACTAATAATCATGAGAAATCGTCATAACAGCTGATTACTAATTAGAAAGTAATTTATAATGTCAAAGAAATTATGTATATATATAAAGAATTATATGGTAAGTATTCTGCTTGTAATACTGCAACTTACCAGCAACCGGTAGAATTGGATCGAATTTTGTACTCATAAATATATGCTTTGTACATCTTCTAGCCCATGTCTTATGTACATGTATAGCTTTCTTATAATAATTTTCTGGATGTGTATTAATATAACACAATATTCTTATTTTATTATACAGTTTTGTAGAATAGTCTGTATCTACTATTAATGAAAAGAGATAAGATTATTATAATATTAATATCAGAGTTTATTTACAATCCTGTAAAACTAGACTTACTGTGAATACTTGGCTTTGAATTAATAGCAGTTGTATTGAAATAAACTGGATTAGTAATAGTTATTGTGTGCTCTCTGTTCTTTTGTTTACTCTGTGTATTTTTGTTGTCTAAATGGTTATATGTAGTTTGTGCATTAATGATTAGATATTTTTTATTATTATCATAATCATAATTTGTAGTAGCGGTACTACGACTAATACTACTACTACCATCCTCAATATTTTTAACAATAAACTCTCTTAATTTATCGGATAAATAATTTTTTTTATTCTTATAATATTTATAGTACTCTTGATAATTGAACGTATTTCCAAAGAATACTTTAAAATGTAACAGTAATAACAAACCAGTTACAATGCCTAGTATCAGACAGCATACTCCTCGACATTTAGAATATGCCTGACGGGAATTTCGACAGTGTGATCTCTTCATAGAATTAGACAAGTTAAAATGTGTATATGTTTATATTTCTAACGTTTGTTTAATCGTTTCATCCAATCATATTGTAACTGAAAAAAATTGGAATAAAACAGAAAATTTATTTTTTAATTTATTATATTTACTTGAACACATAAATATTGGTACAAAGAGGCACCGAATACATATGCACCACATAGGTCACTTGATTTGTGTGTGGGCTGTGGTACTGCCCGGGTGCCCAGACCGAAGCAGGTGGTTTTCTTAGGAGGCCACACCTTGAGCCTTCGACCTAAAGGTCTGGTCCACAAGGCACTGGAACAACGTCAGATGATGCAGTCCCATGGTAGCCAGTGACCAATAATTGGTTCATATGTCATTTGTTCCCTCAGGATCCTGAAGTCCATATGTACCGTTGGTTTGGAATCAGGGTTTTCCAACTCCCCTGGATGGACTCCCCGTTTCCACAATCCTGGTTAAAGCACCGGACATTCGTTTTTCATGCTCTTAATTTCATAAACACTCCCGCCACGAAAAGTCAGTGAGTAGGACTTCCCTGTAAGAGCATGGCCATGTAAGAGCATTTCGAGATGGAGAGCGAACTTTCTCAACCCTCGGCTGTACTAAAGCATTTGAAGCATATTTTCAAATAGTGAATTGAACATTTGATTAGTAAACTGTGGTGCTAAATTATACCTAAAACTAACAGAAAACACTAGTTCCAATCTGATGGTAACTGGCATACTTATGAGGTATAACCAAATTTAAAATTAAAGGGCTGCAAGGAAAGATATGAAAGTAGTATATATATGATTAATTTCAGGTTCAATATAAATCTAAACATGACAAGTACAGTTCAAAAGCATCAAACGATATAGAATAAATATGACGATGTAAATAAGGCAGATTTGCCTCATATTACTCAACGTCTTTATATCTCTTATTACGAGCTCTGTTCTTGCCTGAACCAAAAGGATTAGACTTGCCAACATAATATGTCTTGATCTGATAAACGGTAACTTTTTTCAACCTACTTCTTTATCGGTCATCAATTCAGTTTGAAACGAAACCGAGAAAATCAGAAATGAATGTGATATTTTCACATTATTAATATTGTCTTACTTAAATATATATCAAACCAAAAGGCAACTTACAATAACACTATCTTGTAATTCACCAACAAAGAGTAACTAAACATTTCCGTATAGCTTTGAACTAAAACTATACGAGTTCTAATAGCCATTGTAAATTAATCTTAAGTAAAACTACCAGTCCTCAACAAAAAAATCACACAAATTATTTTGATAATCAGACAGGTTTAGAGAATGGACGTCTGAACTATTGTTAAACCTTGTAATATTGAGAATTAATCAAATTGGTACATACTGTTAGGCCGTTGAAGTAGTCAACAAAAATCCTCAAACCGGGGAGAGCCTTGCAAGCTGATACTTATCAGTAACACGCATCCTTAATACTAAGATGACTGATGCTTCCTCTGAAATTCAAACCCCAGTCACTCACTTTCACAATCACAGAGGTTACTACTGACCTCTTCTGGTTGGGATTGAGCATTTTGGAAATTTAAATTAAAATGACATTTCGATGAATATTTATTTCTTTTGATCACATCGTTTATTCACAATTATACCCCGAATCTGATTTTTTTCAGACAATTTGTTTTTGTGAAATAAATTAAAAATATTTGACTTCGAAAGAAATTGTTTAGATTATCGTCTAATCATAAGCATCCTTACTTATACTCACGTAGAAGATATTTATTTCATTATCTTATGAATGATTAACTAAATTTATATTTTAAACTTGGTGACATTTTTAACAACATTTACTAATATTTATTTTCCCATTGAACATAACATTAAAACAGAGATAGTGACCTTGTAAGGTGATAGTTTTTCTTTTGCTATACATTTCACTGAAGTGCTTTTCAAGTTATTAATTCAATCTCAAGTACTCACTACTCAGTTATACATCATAGTACTTTGTAAAAATCTTTTGAATGTCTACACAAATATGTAGTATCCATTCGCTTAAAAAAACTGTTTAATATTTACTACAAAATCAAACTAATATCACGTATTTTGCCTATCTATAACAAGAGATCAACATAAACCTTAAATTATATTCACTATCACCTATTAACTTACGCAACACTGGTTTGCCGTTTTATCATCTGAGCTTTAAAGGTTAACTGTTAATACAGTTTAATGACATATTCTAACATTTATTATTCTGTCTAGACTAATCAAAGATCAGTCAATTTAGTTCTAGTATTTGAGAGCTGAGTAAGTAATTCATTAAATATGACTAAAATGCAATGCAATTACAAGCTTTAAATTCAGTTAAAGCATATCGACTTCCCATAAGAAAATGATATGAAATGACTGGTAATGATAAATATTACATTGTTGTTTGTCATTAATCTATTATAAATATTATATATATAACTGAAAGTATTCGTATTGGTATATTCTCAAATTCTAAATCAGATTGGTCAAAGCTATCAGATAAAAAGAATCCTAATGTAGATTAATTAAATGCTTATATGTCATATTTACCAAGTGACATCATGGGGATTTCTGTGTAGTTATGAGTTATTATTTATGCCTCTTTTTCATGATGTGCTATGAATGTGAACATTTACTGTTAATAATATGAGAGCGATTATCTTTGTCAGTCAGTATTTAAGAACCATAAACCAAATGTCATTCAATACAAATACATTAAAAGAACCAAAAAATGTGAACAAACGCCAACCAATAGTATACCTATTGACTAGGTGTTTGTGGAAATTTTAATAGGAATATTCAAGTTTTGTCTTCTAACTCAGTGATTATTAACTCTCAGCTGCAGTATTAATATATACAGTGACCTATTTGTATTTCCTTTTTCATTCTCCATCTATCGACTTTCGTTAAATACCAAATTCAATGGTCAAACTTTATATCTGATATTGAACTGTGGTTATTGGTAATAATAACACCTTAATCCCATTGTTATATCCGCGTCGCTTCATTACTTATGCCTTAAAATGTGGAACCACTACAATTCCAATGAGTTGAAGTAAGTTCCTAAAAGATTAGTACAAGTGAAGATACGGTCACTGAGTTACAAAAAACATCTCACACTGGATGTAATGCTGAATATAACTCATGTAAATTCAATACAAGGAATATCGTAATTGATAAGAATCACACTGAAACTGTAATCAGTCTTATGTTGGTCAAGTTCTTACACTGAAACTTAAATGATAATCACCCTGAGCAGTCATTATACTGAATTAAAAGGGAATATAATTGCTACTGAACAAAGGTTCATACATGTCATATTAAAGGAAGTTCATATTGAATTGACCTGAGTTATGTTATCATCATATCCTGTAATATAACATATTTATTTATCAAAACGCAGAATCAGTTTCCATTATTACATAGAGTAGCAGACATTTAGAAACACAGAAACCAAGAATTATTGACTGATCAGAAACGAAAAGATAGTCATGTTAAATACATTATAACGTTAACTAACAACTTTTTATTTCCACAATTATTTACGTATAAATCATTAGTCAACTAAATCATAATTTTAACTGGTTTTGATCTTTAGCCATAACCGAACATATTTTAAGCCATTTATGTACATAATTATTAAAATCATATTGAAATAGCTGAAATAAATATTAACGACAAAGCTGATTTTAACTTTAAAATGCAAACTCTAAAAGAAATTACCTCACACCTCTCTCCAACTGACCTGTAAAACATTGAAAAGTATCCTTATGTTAGCTGTTGAAATGGAATGTCTAGAATCTGTGCAAATAGAAAAGCTTCTGATTCAAGTGGCCATATATATAAAGAGTTATCTACAACAAGCCTACACACTCCACTTGATCTCAGAATCACTTATACATTGTTGTTACTAAATGTCAGCGAACATGGAGATACAATGAGGATCGAACACACGCAAACACAGTCATCTAACAGCCATAGCTAGGAGAGCTGAAGTTCTTTCGGTATGGAAATGAAAACAGTGAAATGTCGGATATTTCGCATTTTACTGTTAGCCTGTAAGGCAATGACAATGGAGATGCTATAAATTTTTGTGTTTCGCTTTGGTTTCAATTACATAGAAGATAGGAAATTTTGCATTCACTAATATGCAAGAAACTACTTAGATAAGCAAAAATGTTTTAACTTCTGATAACTGTTCACCATATAAGAGGAACGTTGGCTCAGATTAATACTTTAAGAGTATAATCAAAGCAAATGCAATACTCACAAGCACTTGTTATCATATTATGAAGCACAATCCGAGTAATTTATAAGTCTTCTCACAGTAACACGATAACGTCTGTATACTCACTGTTGAAAAGTCTTTCACAAAGCAACACCTTCATTAATCACTTCTTTAATAACCGATAAAGAACTGAGAAATTCTAAATACTTACCTAAATCTATGTTCGTGAAAACATTGGAAATCATTAGGAAAGTATTTTTTTATAAACTCAAAAAAAAGCTCATTTCAAAGGCAAACCTGTTATTTTTGTAATAGAGAAAGCGGCTCTAAATTTGAATAATGATGATCCTCATGAGCATTTTGTATTTCTTTTAATTAGCTAATAATTTTTGTGAGCATTACTAAAATATACGTCACTTAACGCTTGTCTATTTGCTAACCAAATAATGAAAAGACTTAAGTCATGTGTGCGATGACATTTGATTAGTGATGAAGAAGACTATGATTATTTCAAGGTATATATAACTTTTCCTTAATTATTTAATGATAGAATACTCTGATTTTGTTATTTGTTGGGTTCTGAAGTCTCAATCTGTCTCATGGTTTACCTACTGAATTAGTTCTAGGTCAAGTGAGAATTAACATGAATTATACATTTCAGCCATAAAGCACATACGCATGTTACGATTTACTTTTTTCCTCAATTGTTCCTATACTTATCGTTCTTTCATTTAATTATGAAATAGGTCTAAAATCCAATTATCTGGTTAGGTAGCTTTCAATGCATATGAACTACAGTTCTCACCAATTGTATTTTCTTTTTAAACACATTTGTATGAACGAAGAATATTATTTTCAATAATTTCTCATCAGGTTCCACAATTATAAATCCAAATTAATAATCCATAAAAGTGGCCAGATT